CGAGGCTTGTATTTCACTAAGTCGGTTCTAAAATAGGTTCGACGTACAAAACCGTTAGGAACTTGATATAATAGGTAATGACACAGAGATCTAGTTGTGGTGGCTGGTACTTTTAGTATCCGACTAATGGTCGTCCGACATCAACTGACTGACCAACTCCCTGAGCCCTTTAGCGACTCCTACTACTCCTACTTATTATAGGTGGGAGAGTCTATTAACTATAGAATAGGTGCGTTCAACTATAACATCCCCCCTAAAACTTTAGTCCGAAGGAGTAACCAGTTTTCTTCATTTATTTTGCTTTTTTTTTGCTTTTTTTTTTTTTTTTTTTTTTTTTTTTTTTTACAGGAAATATGAAGAAAAAAACAACAAAAAAAATTCGTTTTTTTTATTTTTATTTTTTTTTATAGCAACATCGTAGCGTATTTCCTACGTTTTTTGATCCCCATTTAAATGATCAGTTGCCTTTCTTTTTTCTTCTGGATCGGCGTACCTCAGGTAAAATTGTTGCAGGCATTGTTAGATCAAACGTATTGAAAATCACCTCCATCGGCATTTTCTACACAGGACCACTGTCAACCACGTCTGAAAAACGTCTGATCTCGTTACTGCACGTGAATTTTTCGCCTTTCACCAAGTACATCCATATTGCCAATCCGCTTTTCTATTTTTTGGTACCTCCATAATGTTACCAGAAACAACCTTCCGCTTTGAGCTTCTTAAGGATGGGGTCACAGTTTCTGTAGGTTCTTCTTGTGGTTTTATTTGTTCAGCCTCTAGCTTTACTTCTGTTGATCTTGTGCTTCTTAACGTTTTCTGTGGTGACTTCAGTTGACTTAAATCATTTAATAATACTGCATGTCCTTGGCTGCACGTAACTTGCTCCCCAGTTTTTCTCGGTGTTGGCTTTATCTTTACTTTCTGAAGCTTTTTTTTCACGTATATTGTCAGTGTTACCCACTCAACTTTTTTAAATACACCAGTTTTCTCTAATCTCTCCAATTCTTTATCTATCTGTTCAATTGAAGCAAATAGCACATTCCTTTTCTTTTTGAATACCGCCTGAGCGTTTTCTTTTGGCTGGAATTTTGCCTCCATCTTGGTACACATTCCCAAACCTGGAGAAAAAACAGTAGGAAATGTTCCCTTAAGTTTCTTTACTAATTTTTGGGCTTCATAGTTTAAAAAATCTACCTTGTAACAGAAAGAATTTATCGGGAGATCCCATAATTGAAATTCTGTTATCCAATTCATACCAAGTAAGTTCGTGGTATTTTCTATGACAAATAGTTTAGCTTTTCACATTTTTTTATTTAACGTGACGTTTGTAACCAATTCTTTAATAAATTGTATTTTTTCTCCCGTCACTGACCTCGCGATTTTATTTGTCTTCATTAAAGTTGGTTTCCCCAACTTCTTCCACATATGCAAATTTATGATAGATAGGTTGGAACCAGTGTCGAGTTGCATTTTTATTTTTTTATTACTTATTTCAATGGTAACAAATTTTCTGGTTATTCCATCGTTCACCTCGTTGGACTTTAATTTTTTTTATTTTATTGTCTTTATTTTTTGACTTGCAGTGCAAGCTTTTATGACCCACTCTTTTACAGTTGAAACATTTTTTATTCCTAAAATTGCAGTATCTGTACCAGTGAAGTTCATCGCAAACAAAACATGGCTTTGGGAGTTTTTGTTTATTTTTCTCTGGTATTTCACTTTTTGTTTGATAATTCGCAATTTTAGAATTCTTTTTGGTAGACTGACTTTCTTTTTTGTAGCGTATTTTCCTTACATGCAAAACGCAAGACTGTTCTATCTTTTTCGAATCTTTCTTTACGCTAACATATCTTGTGCAGTCTTCTGCCAACTTCTGTATTGAAATCCTTGGTTCGTTTTCTAATTTTGACAGTACTAATTTTCTCAACTCTGCGTCTCTTTCCGATACCAGCCCTTGAATAAATACTAAGTACTTAAAATTGTCAGCGCTTAACTCTACTAGCTTGAATTCTTCACATTGCTGATTCACATTGGCTGCGTACGTTATATAGTCTTGTTCATCATCTTTCATCAGATTCAAACATTTCCACCTCTTGTGAAACAAAGATGTCTTTTTACTAAATAATTCAATTAACATATTTACTGCCTCGGTAAATGTCAACTCGCTAGTTTTTTTCGGTAAAATGTAGTTTACCAATTTGTTATGCTCAGCAGTTCCTAACTTCCTTAAAAGAAGTCTAACCTTCTTTCCTTCAGATCACAAGTGGCAGTCCTCGTTATACACGTCCACATATTTTTTATAATACTCCTCAAAAGTTATCTCTTCATCTGGACTGTACATGAATATTTCAATTGAATTCCATATTGTATTCTCTGGGAAAGAATCATTTTTTAGATTTTTCTCTTTCCTCTTCTCAGTTATTTCCAGAATTTTGTTTTGAAACTCTTTATGCATCTGTTCCATTTCTCGTTGAAACTGCATCTGTCTATTAAAAGTTTCCTCCTGTAGTTGCATCTGGAATGTTTTCTGTTGCTCTCATATTGTCATCTGTTGTTCTGTCTGGAACTTAAAAAATTCCTGGAATATATTTTTGCATTCCTCCATCTTTGCAAAAAGTTTACACAATGCGTAAATATTGTAGAGGAGGGTCCTATGAATTTGCAATTCGTGACCTATTTGAGCAAACTGTCTTATCGAGAAAAAAAAATTCTTTTCTCAGTTGAGAATACAACTGATTTTTTCCGTCACTAAGTTAACGTCTTGTCTTTTGAAAAACTTTGCCAAGTTTTTTTTTTTTTTTTTTAAATGTGAATCCGAGATGTTGTCACCGAAAATTGTGATGAGCAAGTTTTTTTTTCTTTTTCCTCCATATGGGAACGAATTTCATCACCAAATAATGTGGCGAGCGAATTTTTTTTTTTTTTTCTTCCACCGTATGAATCCGAATCCCTCGTACGCCAAGTTTATGGCGGGTGAATTTTTTTTTTCTTCCACCGTATGAGTTCAAATCCTCGTGGCCAAGTGTGTTAAGGAGTATGAATGTTTTTCTTCCTCCGTATGAATCCGAATACCTCGTCGCCAAGTGTTGTAGAGTAGTTTCACAGTGGAGGCTTGTATTTCACCAAGTCGGTCCTAAAATAGGTTCGACGTACAAAACCATTAGGAACTTGATATAATAGGTAACGACGCAGAGATCTAGTTGTGGTGGCTGGTACTTTTAGTATCTGACTAACGGTCGTCCAACATCAACTGACTGACCAACTCCCTGAGCCCTTTAGCGACTCCTACTACTCCTTATTATAGGTGGGTGAGTCTATTATCTATAGAATAGGTGTGTTCCACTATAACACTACTCTTCCCTACCTATTGTGATGAAAGCCCAATCAAGAGCCCTTCACAGGAGCTAGCTTCTTTATCTTTGAATTGCCCTGACTTTTTGGAGATAGTAGTAGTTTTCCATTGCTTTTTCTGCAGTTTGGAATTCAGTTTTCCTTCTCTTAGACTGGTTTCCACCTAAGGCTAAAAAGTCCAGTCTTACTATGCTATTTAACCCATAGATAGTTAGAGAAAAGATTATGCCTTTCCCAAACCATCCATGAAAAGTGAATACAACAGACTAGCCTGGAATTTGAACTTTGTTCATCAGTGCCACTTTCTGTGCTGGTATCTGTTAGACTGCCAGCTCATTCTATAAAATTTTAAAATGCATGTTCCCTTCCAAAATGAAGACAGAAGAATAGAGCAAGAAAGGATTAAACATCAACTGCAAGAAAACAGAATGTAGGATTGTCAGCAAAAGAGGGAGCCCAACATACAAATTATAAATTGGAGATACCAAAATCCAACAAGTACAACTATTTAAATATCTGGGACGTGTTTTAACAGAAGACAGAAAGTGTAACACCAAAATCAGAAGAGACCTTGGGATAGTGAAAGATGCCTTCCAAAAGCTAAGCAAAGTATTAAGAAAGTAGAAAATTTAATCAGAAACAAAGAAAGGGGTACTTAACTGATATATAATGTCAGTCCACCTTGTGAATGCTGAACGATCTCATCAGATAAAGAAAGTAACAGAAATGTGGGCAAACTTTAACTTTCGTGCCTGCAATAAAACAGTGTGTCAAAAGAAGAGTTTTTCTCTTGACACCACTATTATTTTAGCTACTTTCACTCTTTGGTAATTTTTATCGCTTTAAAAAGCAATGATTAGAATTTTATTAAAACGCCAACATATGAAAGTGAATTCATAGATTTTCTTTGTTCTTTGAGAATTTACAGCAAGATGGAATATGGCACATTTACATTTGGACTATTATCTTCAAATTTGTTGTTACCACAACATTTTGGCTGCTATGCTCACAGGCCTTCATTAGGTGTATATTGATCTGGGTAATTTACAGGGAATTACAAACTGAACACTTTATTTAATCTGCAGGGTAGACTATTCTTGTTTAACTAAAAAGGCTAGGGATATCTTGTCTAGTTTTTATTTTTATTACTGCTCAGTTAATGCTTGCCCTGTTTCCACTGAGTTCAAGTACACGCTGTCTGACTCAGGGATTGAACTCACAATTACTATGTCACCAAATTCACAAGCCAACACTTTAATCCACTAGAACAATTCTCTATGCAGAACTTAAAGCATTAAACCTAACTTTCCTGCTTGCCTGTTAATGAGTGCTGCTGGAGTTCCTTTTTTTTTCTACAACTGTTTCTGCTGAAGCCTTGCTGTTACTAGCCTTTCTATATTTGTGGCTCCCATATTGTATTTATTTCTATGCTAGATCCAATAAGGGGGGTCCTCATAACCTGGTGAATGCCAGAGAGCACAACAGGCAAAACATTGAGGACAATAACCTGAATGTAGTGTAAATAATAACTCATCTCAGAAATTCACAGAATTTTTAATGTTGCCTTTTTTTTTTGTTTTGTTTTTCAAGTGTCTAACGCAACTAAAAATGCTATATTTTTTTTATTTATTTATTCTTTTTTTTAATAGGTAATCCTGGAGTCATAGAGTATTATGAGAAATTTATGGAAACATTATATCTGGCCAATGGCAAGAAAATTCCTGTTTGGGGGATTTCACATACAGGACATGTGTCCACAAAACACATGGATGGTACAGTAAAGATATCCACAGGTTATTATCTTCTTTTTTATTATTATTATTCTTATTATTATTATTAATGGTTTTCAAATTGGGATTCACCAAAACCCATTTAATCTGCATAAATCACTAAATGTTGTGAGCTGCTTGCCTTTTTTTTTTCTTTTTTTAAAGACAAATAGACAAATAGATCTGTCAAATGTATTCTTGAATTTGTTGAACATGTTGTAAATATTAAAATTTCACAGTCACTCATAATTTCAATTATGTACAAAGACCTGACAACTAGAGGTGGTTATATCTAAAGTGTTTAAGAAATTTTCAAATGGGACATTGTCAGATTCAGTTGGGATCACATATTTTGTAATTATCATAAACAGATCCTTCCAATAAAATAAGCTATAGTAACTAATTTTTTTTGCAAACTTAATCTTGTCAGAAAGTCCAAAAGTGCTTTTTGTTACCAGTCCTCAGGTGATTAGCATGAAAATGGAAAATTACATATGCATATATAATTTAAATATATGTGGTGATGATTTTTAGGATTTTCTATTTGTAATTAAGCTAGAGTGTATCAAAAATCACTTTATTTTGTTAGCTTATTTCTATTATATATCAACAGGATAATTTTTAAATAGTTTAAAATCAGTTCAATGTATTTTCTTGTGTGATATCTAAACCCATATAGTACAATTTCACTATAACTATCCCCTTTACTAGAATGAAAAGTTCCCAAGCTGTAAGATAAATGACATGCTCATAATAAGTCAGAAAGAAGGGTAAGTAACTCTGATTTGTTGTGGCTGTGATAACCCTTTATTCATTAAATAGATGTTAAAATAACATGACTTACTTTTCAGCAAGAACTGAAGATATTGCAATTATGTATAATCTACTGGGGGCCAATATGTAGACCTGTGCCAAATTTCAGTTCAATTCAACCCTTTGTTTTCTTTGTTTATACAATCAGGCAATAGTATTATATAAACATTAGGAGCTTAAAGGTAAGCAATATTTGATGAAAAGCGTGATTGTGATATTCAGTCAAAAGATAAAAAATAAAAATAGAACAATAGTAAAATGGTTAATAGGGAAATATATTTGACTTTGTGCTGTGTTTGACTTTTTTTTAATTTTTTTTTTTTTAAATAACATGTCCTTTCAGGATGTAAGTGATCATGGCTCTCCACAGATTCCTTTTCTTTATCTGAGGATTACCATGACTTCTTGGGAAAGATAGGCGATTTCCTGTTTCCTTCTCCATGGTTTGGAATTCAGTTTTCCTTCTGTCACTCAAGGCTAAAGAATCGTAACCCTACTATTTAACTCATAGCAAGTGATAGATTCATGCCATTCTAGACTATCCCGAAATTCAAATTTGGCTTCTCAATTCCCCTTTTCTTATACTATACACACATCCTTATATTTAAGTAAACTTCAAGAAAATACAAATAAAAAAAAATACTTAATGTCAGAATTTCAAAAGGATTTATACTACCGTATGTTAAAAGTACAGCAAGAAAGCGAAGAAATATAAAACTACTATCCTATGATAGTTGTTATATTTGCATACAACTATGGCAAAGAGTGTGTGACCTATATTTAAATGATTTGATTTCTGTTTGAGTGTATGACTGTAACCCAGCAAAAACAGCACATTATAGTAAGATTTTTGTTAGAGCAATAATTTTGAAATGCTCTAACCTGAAAAATACAGAAATTTTCAACTTAATAATTGGGTGTGGTTTGCATTTGGGCTAACTCCTATGGTAATGATCTGTTTTTGTATGTGTGTTTCTTACAAAGACTGTAAAGAGAATCATATCAACATTGAAAGAGGGAAAAGATGTTACTATAGATGGCATAAATTTTTTTTGAAAAAAAAATGAAAATTTACATTTTTATATATAAATAAAATTTACAAAAACTGATTATGGGCATCATTATTTTAATAAAAAAATGATTTAATCCTTTTATTTTTCTTTTTTATTTTCCTTTTCTTCCACACTTGAATAAAAAAATCTATTTACATTAGACTCCTGCAGATTAGGCATTAGTAATACAAGAAAAGCTAACTTTAAGTTTTAAATATAGTTGAAGTTTAGTCCACCTTTTTATTTATTTGCAAATAATTATAATATAAATTTTACAATTTTGTTATTTTTGTATAAGCTCTTTTTTATCAGGAACAAATATTAGTTAATTTTAGGAAAATATTGTTTCAGTTCTTGACAAAGTTGCAGCTTTACTTTGTACTGGGGATGAAAATCCACACTTTCCAAAATTGCATGTTATTTTCAATGTTTGATATTTTATGATGAAGGTAAACTCTATGTGGTCTTTGGACTCTTGATGTACATGGCCTGTTTAATCTGGCAGCAAGGCCTCTGATTGGAGGTTTTGAGGAGAGTGAAACCACATCTTAACTGCTGTTATTCCCAGTGGTAGCACCTGTTAGGATCCCAGCTTTGGACAAATAGTGAACCCCTACGCAAAAACAAAACACTATCGAAGTATGAAAATACATTTTTGTAGTGAAAGTTTTTATATAAAAAAAAATGACAATACATACTTATAGTGGAGTGCCCAAAAATACATTTTATAGTGGAATTGCTGGTGGGGCATTTTGTGGTGAAATAGCCAACAATACACTTTATGTGTTGTTGAAGGCATACAATTGCATTCAAAATATTTAGATTTTGGCATTGAGTGACCTATATGCCACTAAAGAAAATCAATCCACCCAAAATGACCTTGTGAAAGCAAGTTTACTATTGGCTGCTATCATACTCAAATGCTCCTCTTGTGAATTTGCGCCCTTCAAGAAACAATGGTGCCATTGCTGGAAACATTCTTGGAACTTGTTGTTAACTATGCTTACTCTTGTGGTTCTACCAAGGAATGAATTCCCCATCCTTGGCTAACAAATTCCTGAAGATATTAGACTCTCACTCCTCAGTTTAATGGATTTGTTTTAAGCAGTGGCAATAACAGGCTTGTCTCCCTTCCTACCACAACAGTCAGCATAGTTAACACTTGTATTCTTGAATGCTTTTTAATAATGTAGTCATTTGTTGCTGCAGGTCAGTAAATGGGGTCATTTTTTTTCCTACAATTTTGGAAATAGTCCCAAATCACAAAAATCTGCTGAATAAAGTGTATAGCCAATTTTTGGAATAGATTTCTTAGCCAGGAATCTGCAAATTCCTAAAACACATCTGTATTTGCAGCACAGTTTCTGTCTTATTTACTTCTTTTGGTAAGCTGGTCAACAAAAAAAAAAAACTTTTGAAATGATGTTTAGCTAATTTGAGGGTGTTGAATTTGAAAATAACCTTACTTTTTCTTGGTTCGCTACTGTTTTTGCTGTACAGAAATGCATGGTCTTTCACACAATCTTTTAAGCCAGTCGAAAAGTCGGCACACACTCTGATTTTTCGGTTTTTCTTTTTTATATATACGGTTGAAGACACCCAATCCGAGTACTTGACTTTTGAAATTATGCCAATTTTCTCCAACCTTTCTAATTCCTCATTTAGTGTGTCTAATGCCGGAAATGGTGCTTTTCTCTTTGGTTTAAAGATTGGTTTAACATTTTCTTTCAATTTGAAGTTGACTTCTGTTTTTGTGCACAGACCTATTCCTTCTGAAAAGATGCGAGGGAATTCGCCTTTCAAATACGTAATAAATCTTTCTGTTTGCTTCGTCTTATAGTTCTTTATGATGTTAACTTTGTTACAGAAAGAATTCACTGGCAACTCTCATAAATTAAACAATACGATCCAGTCTAAACCAGAGAGCACATACTTTCGATTTGTGAATTTTTCCCATGAACACAATGTTACATTTTAATTCACCTCTAAACTTAAGTCTTTTTCCTGGCACTCCTGTGCAATTTTGTCTGTGTTATTCAACGGCAAGTAACTGATTTTTTTCCATGTTTGCTTGTTTATTACCAAAATATCACTTCCTGAATTGAGTAATAATTTTACGGTTTGCCCATTTATTTTCACATTGAGGTACTTTCTTCTTTGACCCTCCTCAATTTCGTTTTTAGACAAAACTACATTCACCTTTGTTTGAGACTTTGATTTTACTTTTCTGTTTTGCCGGACAATGGGAACTTCTATGGCCTACACACCCAAAATTAAAATATATTTTATCCCTAAAGAAACAATCCTTCTTTATATGCTGCCCTCCACACAGACTGCATATAATTTTTCTTTCTTTATTCTGTATCCACTTCTGTTGTCTTACAGTTTGTACTCGCAAAATGCTCTTCTCCTCAATCTGAGTATTATCTTTTTTTATGTTCATAATTCACTGACATTTTTCCGTTATTTTTTTAGCATAATTTTCATATCCTGTTCCATGATAATTTCTTTGTCCTTTGGTGTCGTTAGACCCTGAACAAAAATTAGACACTTGAACATGTCACTTGACAATTCCTTTAATTTAAACACCTCGAACTGTGCATTAACCATACCTGCATACGTGACAAAATCATCATCCTCTTGTTTTATGATATTTAGACACTTCTATTGTGTATTTTTTCGATAAAAATTTCTACTGTTTTGCTGAATGTAATTTCTTCTGGCTTCTTTGGGAGGATTAAGTTCGCATATTTTGTATTTTCTTCTGTTCCCAACTTCTGCAGCAATAGTGATTTTTTTTTTTTCCTCATCGGAACATTGTTTGCATCTTTCAAATTATTTAAATTCAGAGAGTAAATTTGAAATTCCTTCAGCAGAAAAAAAAATGGAACCCGGTTTTTTTGTTGTCTATACTATTCTTGATTTCAGCATACTCATAACCACTATTACCTGGATGGATATATATATATATTTTCTATAAATATTATTTTATAAGTGATAATCTACACCACCACACACACACAAACATGTGTAGACATGCACATACACTCCTATTGGTCTCCTATTATGAAGTGACTGTCTCCAAAGTGGCAACACCAACACTGGTTGCAAAGATAATAATATTATTATCTTCACTCTCAGTAGTACTGCTTTTTATCA